TATCACCACGGGTGCATTTGGGTGGAGGGACACACACAGCTGTAGACAGTGTGAGAGGCAAGAGAATATTATATATAGGAACGTTGTCATTGTCATTATCAAGGGAAGTGGCATGAGAGGCTTTGGTGAGGACCAGCTGGCTGACTCTTGAGCTGTGCAGCCTCGTTGGGCAGAGCGTTGGCCTTTCTTCCTGACATAAATATTACCAGCTCCCCAGAGCTTGTGTTATCGGTATAGATTGTGCCCTTGTCACTTTTCCTCACAGATTATAAGATTTCTGCCAAGTGTTGCAGGTTATTAGCACCTCCCAGCAAAATCATGACTCTTACACCAGTTCACCGGTCCCAAGGTGTGTCTGAATTTTGAGAACCCAAGAACCTGGTGAGTCCCATATTCACCACTGTTCAGCTCCCAAGCCTTTGTGCGCTGAGCTGCTGCCAGCATGGGCAAGGAATCCATGACATTTCCCTTCTGTGGACTGTCTCTCCATCCCTACTTCCTGTTGCTCTTTGCTCCACGTCAAGTAGCCATATGAAGGAAAGAGATCTGGGAGATGGAACGACCCCTTGCTCACCCCCCACCGGCAAGTCCTGCCCACCTTGTGTTGGTGTGACTGGTTTCCATGTCAGGCATGCTGCCTGCCCCTCAAGTGCCTCGTTTATAGAAGTGCTCTACAGCCCCGCACTCTTCCATCACCCACCGTCGTGAGAAGAGAACGCTGTTCACTCATCTCCAGTTACAGTATATGACAGTGGCTGAGGAAGGGACGCCTGCCATCGGGCAAGTGAATCTGATCCTGCTGCCTTCTCTCTCTGGCTTGGAGAGCTACAACCCTAGTTTCATGTACTTTCTGCTTCAGTGTGCAGGTGACCGGTTTTACGTAAGTCATTTATACCTTTTGTATGCCACAGAAATAAAAGATGATTTATATAAAAATGTGAGTGTCAGTCTCATCCCTCAGAGAGTTCCTACTGTCTCATTCTGTAATAATAGTGTTCATCGTGGCAACAGTGAACTAAACTAATCGGTTATTTGAAGCCCAGAAAGTATTGACGTACGCTTTCATCCTGGGGTCCAGCAGCAAGCAGTCTGCAGGCTGAGAGGTCTGTATTCTGGAGATGATCTAGACACATAATATACATCTATAACAAGGTTTCTGGAGGGATGGTAGAATTGAGCTGAGCATAGAGGGGGCACAGAAGGGTAGGATTTATACTGTTCTGGACATCTGTGCTGATCAGCCTCCTGGGTCATTTGTTTACTGAGTCAGCAGCAAAACACATGAATATCTAACAGTGAAGTAGACCCCATCTCTTGCCTCTGAGTGTTCACATTCTAAACTACCTTATATTGACAAGTTGAAAACTGTGTGTGTTCACAAATCTTTGGTAGGCTTTCCTGCTCTTATCAGCATCATAGTTATAATGAAATATGTGGAAAGAAGCAGGAAGAGCCTAAAGACAGGACGAGAGATGGAGTCAGAGTTTAATTCTTACAGCTTGATTTTTTCACGATTCTTTTTGGCTAAGGTGCATGGCTGGCCAAATGGATTCTTTGTGACAGTTTTATACACTCCTTAGTGGTCAGGGATATATCGGTGGCCACTGACATCAAAGATTTCAGCAAGTTTAACAGGCCTCCAAAAAAGGCTTTTTTTGATAAGAAGTTTAGTAGATCATAAAAGGAACTAATGAGCATCTGTTCACTTCCTCTAGACAGCATTATGGGTGCAGAAATAAAGCGATGGTTCACCTGAGGCAAATCCCTGGGTTCTGACCCTGTTCTGCCAGTGATTCGCCATGTCCCTCTCTGATCTGTAGATTGAGAGGTCTTGAGCTACGTGCTCTTTTCCAGGTTTTGAATTATATAATTCTCCCCCCTCATGCTGGCAACGATCTGGAACTTCCCTAAATGTGTTTCAAATTGAGCTCTCTGGTTCCCTCCTGGACAGCTTCCTGCTGCTGGTGGCTGAAGACACGGAAGACCACAGATTGCTGAAGGGAAGGAGCTACAGAGGGGAGATTCTGGAATGGTGGGGTGCACATTGTTGAGGAAAGACGAGGGGTCTTCAAAAAGTTCATGGAAAGATTCATCTTTTAACTCCATTTTTTCACAAGTTTTTTGAAGCTCCCACATAGGATCTTGTGCCAAGGAAGTGGAGGACCTCAAAGCTGCTTTTCCTCAACCACTGTGTGGAGACTTTTTTCTTTTTAAATGTCCTCTTCTTTTACCAATTATAACTTATCAGTTAAGTTGACATCTGTCAGTTCAGTTATAGTAACCATAATTCCCTTAAGACACATAGACGTCTCGCTCCACAGAAAACCTTGGCATGTTGCAGGCTGCCCTTTTCCTCAGCCTCCTGCTCCTGTAGATAGGATGGCTTCCGACCATTGCTCACCCTGTGTCTAATATCTGCTTCTCTCCAGTCCGTAGTCCTCTTCCCCATGTGGGCCTCAGCCAACCCTACCTATGGTTCAAAGTTGTTTTCTTTCAAAACAAAACAAGACAAGCTCTAATACTGCCTATTCCCCTTAAGGAGCTCAAATATTCATGGTCTTCCGGTAGAAATCATATGTTTTAAAATATTGCATTCAACTCAGGCTTGCAGAGACGGTCCGTCTAACTGGGAATTTATGGAGAAATATGCCCACTAGGATTCATCCATTATCCATGCACGTGGAAGGGGCGTGCTGGTGAACTGCATCTGTGGACTGGTACCTCTGGCTGTCTTTTCACAAGGAAGCCTTAAGCAATGGCCTGTTCCTCTCCCATTCTCCCCTTCACCCCCTCTACCATAGTTTCCTCTAGTTCTGCTCAGATGATTATAAATGGGTGTATAGCTCCCAAAGCAGGAATAAAAAATCTGAGGCTAGGACACTAACATGTAAAAACTCTCTACATCAGGTTCAAGAACAAAGAGGCCTTCTCTTCCTGGACAAAGATGACATGGGGCCATGTGAACCCAGTGCTCTGAATCCTCAGGCGGGGCCTTTCCCTAAGTTGTAGTGAGTCTTCGGGGAAATGACAGCCTTTCTTGACCAGCAGCAAGAAATGCAGGAAAGCCTCCCCAAGAGATGCTCCAGTAGCTGAGAGGATGGTTATCTGAGGAAAGCAGTTCAAATTCAGTCCTGCCTAGAGCCAAGGGACAGGGCATAATGGCTTCAAGGGCCTCCTACATGGCACAGTCTATGACTATAATAAATGGACTAAAAAAATATTAACCACATCCATGGGGCTCTTTAGAACACATTTGATTAAGCACAGTGTCCAGTTTCCTTCCAATGTGGGGAGGCAAGAAAGAGCCAAGGGACAGATGCCCATCTTGGTGAAGGGGGATCTAGAGGGGCTCTGTTCTGCAGAGGACCAGGCCAGTGAAGAACTGGAGAAGCCGCCAGGGAAGCACAAACTCGTGTCAAGAACATTAGCCCCACTTGGATTGTCCAGACACGATTAGGCAGAGGATAGAAATTTGAGGGGAAGAATTTCTTTAACAGCATATGAATTTTTAAAGAGCATCCAAACCCTCCTGTGGAGAAGACTGCCTGGAGATCCAGGCTACTTCCCAGGCAGAACCTGTTGTACCTTGGCTTGGATGCTGGTTACCTAGGAGGCTGCCCCACAGCCTCCTCTTCCACCTGCCCAGGTTTGCTGAAGAAGCAGTTTGTGCATTTGCCTCCAGACTTCCAGTAGCTACAGCCAATTTTTATCTCCTTCCTTCCCACAGCTGTCAGGCTGTCGTCCTGACTGGTCTTCCCTTCCATCCAGTGAGGCTGGCAGTGTCCCAGGATGCCAGGCCACTGGGCAGAGTTCCCAGCGGTGTGGGCCATGCTTCCCTCTGCTCAGCTGGGCATCCGCCTGCTGTTCTGAGCAATCTAGGTCTGCCATTTTACCACTTCCAATTAGAAAAAGTCACAGACATATGTACTGCAATCAAGAGCATCAGCCTGGGGAGAGGGATAATTGCCCTAGCCTCATCTCCTCTGAACACTCATGGGGTGAATTTAAGGGACAGCAAACATTTGATGGAATGGTGGCAGCCCCAGCCGGGTAGCCATGCTGCTTTAGGCATCAGAGAGAAGAACCAGGGCTCCATGCCAGCGTACCATGCTCATTCTATGCGTTATACCATGAAACCACACGGGCAGCTCAAGTTTAGGAGACCTTCTGTATGGCCACTTGCCATCCGTCTCAGGGAGACGACTCCTTGCTCTCTTTTAATGCACACAGTTAGCAAAGTAGGCCCTTGACTCCTACTTCTTTTGTCTTATTTTGCTTTTTTACGAACTCTAGTATTTTTCTTAGTGGGAGCCAGTGGATGGTAAACCCTCTAAACTCATGATGTCCAAAATGGCTCTTTTTCACCACATACTTGAGTGACAGTTTTACTGGGTATACAACCTCAGGTCCAGAACCTTCCCCACACCCATGGATTTGAGCATGCAGCTCCATTGCCTTTGTGCATCTAGTGTTGTTGGTGAGTGGTCTGTTGTCCCTCTTACTCAAGTTCCTTTTTTAGACAGTCATTTTTGGTTTTGGTGTTGTTTCATCTGGAAGTTTTGTTTCTGTGTTAGTAGTGTTCCTTTATCTTCAGTATTGTGATGTGTCTGGTTGTAGGTCTTTTCTCCTTCATCGTACTTGGCACTTGGTCATCTATGTAATCTTGGGATTTTGTCTTGTACTGTTTTCTACTTTTTGGCAGATTTTCTTGTACATTTTGGGGGGGGGGTTGTTTTGTTTGGGGGTTTTTTCTATTTTCTTCGTTTCATCCACTTTACCCTCTGGAGTTTTTGGTAAACAGATGCTGTAATAATATCTGGATGTGTCCTCCATGTCTCAACTTTTCTTTCCATCCCATGATCTTTTTTGACCACATACTTAAGAGAATTCCTTCATCTTGTCTTCTGTTTCACTAATTTACCCCTTGTGTCTACCCTGCTAGCCCAACCCATCTGTTTGTTTTTAAATTTTGTTGTGAATGATTTAATTCCCAAGGTCTCTGGCTGATTCTTCATGGATCCAATAGCTGTACTTATTTCAAAGACCCATTGTGCTTACACTATTAACATTTCCTTCAATGTGAACTTTTGTTTATGAAAATCAGTGCCTCTTTTTCACAATATCATTTTTTACACATTATTGGTGACTACTAGATGCATGCTCATTTTAGTATTTGAAAATCCCTGTTAACCTGGCAACAGAGGGAAAGAGTAGGATGTCCAATGGGCAGATTTTACTTTGGCCCGTCCAACATAACAGAAAGTGCTTGCTGTCCCACATAAGGGAAAGTAAGCCAGTAGGGAGAGTAGAAGTGGAAATCTCTCTCTTGGGTTGTGTTGGCTTCCGGGAGCACAGCTCTACCTCTCTGACACTAGCATACAAGCAATCTATTGGCCGCTGTCTGCCCCAAGGGAGCCAAATGGTGAGTTATAGAGAGGTTCACCTGCCTGTCTGATCTTTCTGGTAACCCCAACTACTTGCCCTGTCATGTACTCTGGACACCTTTCTGCCCCACATCTGTCACTTACAGACCTGGGACATATCTTTCAGTAGTCCATTTACAGGAGCATTTAGAGCAGTGACTCCTTTTATCAATCTGATCTCGCCTACTTTCCACCTTTTAGGGATTCCTCACAGTTTTGATTCACCAGGGACATTCTTTGCTTTGTAGCACTGTTTTTGTTTATATTTTAAAAGTATATATTCTGTCATTCCTGGGAATTTTAGATGGAACAGTGAGATTGATGTTGAACTGAAAGACATGATATGTTCTCACTAAATAGTTGTTAGATGAATGAATGGATTCTAATGCCTTCCTGTAACTTTTACTTTAAATTTTTTCTGCATTTGAAAAATAATTGTTGAATCATTGACTTACTGATTTCAATATGCTCTCCCCCACCCCATTTCAAGTGGATGCCACATTTGGCATCAGA